TTTTTGCCAATCGTAGATATGTTCGTGTTGTTCGTGAAACATTTATTTAACACGTATGGCACATTGTAATGTAATGATTCTGAGTTATACTTTGTTCGAGACCGAGGGATAAGCCATGCGTCTGTACAGCGTCTTGAGAAATAAAATATAAAACAAAATTCTACGCATGCTGGCGATGGCAAACGAATGGTATAAAGTGAACAATATTTGTATATGAGTCCCCCTACAGGAAGTATTTTATATCTATAAAATAATGGTAAATATCTGTACAATAGACACCCGCGATGTGATGTACAATTTGTAAATTTTTTCGCAACATTAGTTGGTTTTTAAGATTTTTCTTTGTTGTAGTGGCCCATTCGAGGTAACATTAATTTAAATTTGACTACAGTAATGTGTAGTAAATATATGAATAAATAAATGCTGATTGCTAAAACATTACGACAACGGGCTATCATGCGCGCTGTCGCCAACAACTCGGGAAACTTTAGCGATTAAAGAGCGTGGTAATCCATTATTATATACTCAGAAAAAAGTGCACCTGAAGTTTTTTACTGGCCAACGAAATCAATTTTCGGATCACCAAGTTTGATTTTATTTTTAATCAAGACTGATTTATTAGTAAATTTAAACAAAATGTCTTTGGACTTTTGTGTGTTTGCTTTAAAGCCATTAATTCCGTAGCAAATAGGAAATTTACTCAGGATATTGTTTGCTTCGCATACCAAAGTGATTTAAGTGCTGCGTCATTAGCGTCATATTGCGCCATGAACGAGTTCAAATCCTGGCTTCGCCGTTTTTTGGCTTTCGGCGGGTTCCTGAAAGCTTCGATTCTTTGATTCATTGGGTTGGGTATGGTTCATTCATCTGCACATATTCCTTTATATATATATATATATAATATTGGTTGACTTTACTATTCAGAGAAGCGGGAAGAAATGAAAATGGTACAAATATATATTTCTAGGTCAGAGCACAGTCAAAGACTCGGTCGCATACAACCACGAACACACGCACTAAAAGCACGAGTCACGGGACATTCGGGGCGCTTGTTTGTTTTAGTCAATAAAAGAACACGTGCAGGAACATGGATGAATGGCATGAGGTCGCACTTTGACGCTGTTTGGTTTCCCCTTGGCTCGTAGCGTCGGCCGCTCTTTTATTTAAGGTGAAACGAAGTATAAGGGCTGCTTGTGAACCGTGCTGACTGGTTGACGCCCTGGCGGGTTAACTGCCGACATCGTCTAAATTTCCAGACGATGTCGGCGATGTCAGGAGCTGAAAGTCGAGAGAAAACAGTGGGAAACAGTAGGATGGCGGTTACTGTGAGACACAACCAGGATCTTGCAACTCAATTGAGATCACTTGATTATCGTGTCTGCGCATGCCTCCGTGCCGCCTCTCACCAGCGCGTCGAGCTTCACCGCTTTGCACCAGAGTGCTAGGAGAAGCGGTTGACTCGGGTGAGCGCCTGGGTTAGTGCGATAGGCTTGGAAATGAGGCTCAGTATTACGGAAGCCTTACCTTCTTTGGTCTCGATTGTAGATTAGTCTCTAATGTTAAAAAGTTACTCCGAGGAAGAAGGGGGTAAAAAAAAACGCGGGTCTGTACTTAAACAAATATGGTAGTGATGGTAATTCTCTTGAGGCTGTCGATCGAAAGAGCAGCGAACTTTGACTTTACTTTGGTCCCGACGCGGCTAAAGATCAGTGTCACTTTTAAAGCGCAAGTGTAGGTTTTCATGATATTTCCGAGTGTGTGTGTGCGTGTGTGTGTTTTTCAGTTTATAATGTTAATCTTGATTTTGGTAGCTTCATGAAGCTTGCGTGAATCAGTTTTAGTGATCGACCTTTTAGCGGATATGTTGGTCTCTGCTGGAATTTTATAGAAATTATATTTTTGTACTAATTAGACTACCGGGCATAAAAGTGGAACGGGAAAAAGAGGCTTTATCCCCAATGAAGAGTTGCGTAATGATTAATTTTTAAAACATTTTAATACCCTTTGCAAATCGAACAAATCTAACCAGAGTCGTATTTCTAAAAGAAAAAAAAAAGCCTGGTTTGTTTCCACTATTTATTTTTATTATAAAATTTCAGAAGTAATATGCTCCAGTGTTGAAGAGGACCCCTCAATAATTATTAAAGATAAACTCACTTAGTGATGCAATCACTTTCTTTTTAATCTTCAAGTGATGTGCTAACAGATGTTGACATCTGCTCCAAGAGTTTCAGTGGCCGCTCAAAACCGATATTCTACCTGCTACAGAACCTGCTCCAAAATGTCAAATGCCGCTTCCATCACCGATATTATCAGTATATCAGCATCATCTGCAGAAAAAAAAGGTTCGTATCATCAGCGTAGATATTAAACTGAGCTTGGTGATCCATGTTAACGATATCATTTATGTACACATTAAATAGAAGAGGCCTAAGTATGCTTCCTTGTGGAGTAATGACCATCATCAAACAGTTTCCTGCAATTTAGATAGGATTACAGTAGAGCTAACGTTGCTTCGATGACACCATAATAATGATACTACTTCTACTACTACGAATAATAATGCTTTATTTGATTCGTGCCCCAGAAAAACCTATAGGCTATAATGTGGTGCCACATAAAATATAATACAAAAAACAAAAAAACATAACGATGTCTGCCATTGTTACAAAATATGGGTTGGGTCAATAGCCGAAAATACATGAATCAAGCTCCCGTTTAAAGACTAAACAATCTGAAAAAAAAACAAAAAAAAAAAAAACATCAACGTGAGGCGACAATTCTTTACTACGCATTTGCATCCGCACCAATGATGCGGATGCAAATTAGCCAAGTTTCGTGAGAAAAATGTTGGGATTTAGAACATCGAACGATTTACTGAACTTAGTGAATACACCTAAAATAAGAAACATTTTTCAATATTCTCCAATATAATTTATTCTTGAAGTAATAAAGTCAAATAATGAAGGATGCTTTACAAAAAAATGAAGGCCGTTTGCAACTCCCTGTAACGCCAAATTCGAGCGCAGCTCTTGGGGAGGAGGAGGAGGGGAGGGTACTGTGGGGAGGGGATACCTATCCTCCCTCCTCTTCACCTCGTGATCCTGCCTGCTACTCCTGCTCCCCCCCTCCCCCTCCACCCCCTCCTTTGCTTTGCCGAAAAACCCCTGTCGAAGAACACGCTTTGTTGGTCCAGTCACGACGATTAAACTTCAAATGGTTGCCGCGCGTTGAATCGTGAGGCATGTCCATAACATCAATGTGAATTTGTTTAGTTTACATTTCCTCCGGATTCGGTCACGTAATTTCTAACCGACTTTCCGAAACGAAAGCTGGCACACCTCCAATGACACATCTCCTGCTTCCGTTTGGACCTCGTTCTGAATACACGCTGAGCCGAGTTCACTCCAAACGCCGACGCAGCCTTCATGTCCCAAACAATGGCGGATTCGGGATAGTTGGCCCACAGGATACTATAGTTGGTGACGGGTTCAGAGTTCAGGGAAAAAAAATCCTCCCACCCCTTTCCACTTTAGCAGAGCGAACGCTGGGGAGGAGGTCTCCTCCTCTCCAGCGTTCGCTCTGCTAAAGTGGAAAGGGGCGGGAGGATTTTTTTTTTTTCCTGAACTTTGAACCCGCCATTAACTATAAATGGCGCGCACTTTAGAAAAGGGTCTATGGCAAGCCTGCGAAAGCGCGACCATTGCACGTGCTGGCACTCATGGGGAACCCGTAAAGACGAGCCTCTCGAGAAAGAAAACATAAAAGGCGTCCATGTGCGGAGCACCCTGTCCGGTGAGGCGCGGGGGCACCGACCACGCGCCCCACCGTTCAAAAGTGCGAGCCTCCCTTCCGAGTCTGGTGCGAAAACGGCACGTGTGGCGTTTCCTCCTTTCTCAACGCTCGTTAGGAAAAAGGCGGCACACCCGTCGGTCTTCTTGATGCCCCAACTCGAAGTAGCGCTCTACGCTACAGCGGCAAAGTCGACTCCCCCGCACGGAGACGCCAAGAATGATTCGGGGGTTGCCAATTTGAAACCCTCAATCCTCTGTTGTGCTCAGGGGCACGTGGAACCACAAAATGTGGGTTCGTTGATGCAGAATTACATTACCACTACTTTTAGTAGAACGTAACGTATTCAGATTGCTAGATGGCTCGGAAAGCAACTAAGCCCAACTAATTGACGGACTACTCAAGGGGGAATGGCGGCGAAGAATCTGCTGAGAAGAAAAGGAAAGGCTGTTCCGTTGGAGGAGGCCGAACAGGTTTTCCTTGAAGAAGTGAAAGAGAAACTAAGAGAGAGAGAGAGAGAGAGAGAGAGAGAGGGAAGGAGGATTAAAGAGAGGAACGTAAAGATAAAATGAATTCAGAAATAAATAAAAAAGAAAGATTATGCAGAGAGGAAAGATGGGATCGAGCAACGCCTCCTAGCCGTAGTACTGGAATTTCTACGCTACCTACCGGAGATGAGCGCTGGGCACCGACTGGACACCGGTGCTACGTCAGCGCTCGGCCGGGGCTCGTGTCCAATCAGCGTGGACACGAGTCAAAGCCGAACGATGATGCGATCCTTGTGTCCAAACTGTGCCCCTTACTGGCCTCCGATAACTGACGTAAAAATTCCGCAATTACAGCCTCGTTATTTATACTCATCGTCACATCAAGAAATAACGATGTTTTGAGCATACTTCATGCAGTGTGCGAAGTATTTTTTTCAAGATTTGGATGTCGAAGCAAAAAACGATTCTTTTATTGTCAGCGACATTTACGTCTCGATAAAATAGCATAAATCGTGTCTTAGATGCACTTAAACACACCTTAATTCAACGTATGAAGAGGGAAATTAGTAGCGTTTCACAAAACGCTGGACTTTTTTTTTTTCTTTTTTTTTTTTGTTGTGAATACTTTGTACAGGAGTTGTTGGATGAAGTGAGAGTAGAGAGTCGACGCTAGAATTTTCGACCCTGACAGCTATGTTTCGTTTTCGGACGCGTGCGCAGTGCTCTTCTCCCGCGAGCGGTTCCCGGTGTCCGTGAACCCGAGCGAGGCCTCGGAGCGGGTGGGCCTCCGGGGCGACTACCAGCTCGTCATCCTGGGGCACAGCGTGGGCCTGCTGCGGCCCGGCGCCCCGGAGCCCTTCCTCGTGTGGCCGGTCACCTGCATCCGCCAGTACAAGCACGAACTGCTCCTCGCACCAGGAGCCAGGAACAACGCCCGCTCCACCACGCTGGTCACCATCGAGGTCGGCCGGTACGTTCCCGGCGGACGTCGCCCCAACCCTCGTTTTCTCTTCTGCTGTAATAGACCGCGGGAATTCGGTTTTGATTAAAAAAAAGGATGCCCTGGCTCAGATATTTCGCCAAATGCAATTAAAGTGAGAATGCAGTTGATATATACATATACGTATTTTTTTTCTTTTTTTTGACGAGGAACAATTTTTTATTTTTAGGTTTAGCGGATGTGCTTTAACGCTAAATTTAGCGGGGAAATTGTGACGTGACTTTCTGTCACGTAACCATTTCATGTGACTTTGGGTCACGTGACATTAATTTCGTAGCATCACTTGACACGGGAAGTTAACACTGTGGTGTCATTTTTCCCGCTTAATTTAAGCAGTTCCGTTGCAATTTACTCGCTAAAATAAGAGTTACGTTGCTTTGTGCTAGGAATCATTATTTATGCGACATCATTTAAAGGATAGGGTATCCTTTTCTTATGAAGGGCACAAGATAATCCGGAACAAACAATTCGGAATATGAAAGCATATATAAGGTTTACATCTTTTTTTGTACAAAATTTAGATCCCGTTTTATCGAATTCTAATCTTGTATGCGATGCATCGGTAAGTACCTATAAATGTCCTATGAACGTAGTAAGACAGGATAATTTTTACCCTAATATAGTTTTGGTACTACCCCTTCTGTGGTCAAGACCTGTGTCCTGCACTTTCTTAAGTCACCCTCATCTCTGTTGGTACCTGCGGTTGCTTCAGACCCTTAAAAAAAAAAAAAAGAAATAGTGTGCGAAGCGCAGGACATATGGGACTCTAGAAAAGGCAAACACTTGCTAGGAATAGTTAATCGTGGACGCCGCAACAAAATATAATATCAATGAAGGCAATGCCATATTTTGTTGCGCCTTTAGCGTGAGTGTTTCTGCACTTGCTAACACTAGTGTGAACGCGCAGGCACGTGCAATCAAAGCAGTGCGGAAGCCAGTGAGCTCGCGCTGAAGGCGGAGCTTCTACTCTCGGCTTAAGCGTGAACGGAGTGTAGAATCAATAACGCTGTCAAAGCTACTGGTACGGGCATATGGCTCAATGCAGCGTTTCGTTTGCACGGGCTTTCTTGCAAACGAAAAGCCACATGCAGCCATGTGTTCGTTTGTAGTAACTGGGAGTCCCACAATATGTTTAAAACGAAATATACACCTTTTCCACAAGAGCACACCCATTTTGAATGTCCTCACTTCTGGTATGCGCGGTAAATATCCTTTGGATCTCTCCACGCCGCTGGAAGGGGTTTACGAAAAATGAGTGATTGTCACACATTCTTGTTTTGCCTCACCTTTATTTTCTCGCATATTCCGCGTTAAAATATTTTATTATATTTTTTCGTCCCGTATACCAGATACGGAACCCACGTGGCTGAGAACGACAGAAAACAGGAAACGTCTATATAGTTAGTGGGCGGTGTTGCTGGCGCACTGCTTCATTGACGCTCCACGAGCATGGCTCGACCAGCGGGACTTTTGGTAGATAGCACGCTGCACATTGCGGGCCCTGCAAGCTAGTGCTCTAGCCCGGCTCGAAGTGGCGACACGAGCTCCCGCTGCTATCAAGGCCTGTTGCGTACAACCTACGAAAATGCAAGCCTCTCCACAGCGGTTCAGGTGGATAAACTCGAAGCATAAATGATACAAGGCCTATGGGGGAAGTTTTATCATGGAGGAATGCCAATAATAAAACACTTCCACCTCTAAGGCCGCCGCGCACATCACATAAAAAATAAGAAGTTCACTGCAGACACGATGGAAGAATTACCTGCGGACGCGCCTAAAGCATGTTCTAACATACATAAGTATGCTACAAAGATGGGTGCAGAGAGTCTTTCTATGACCCATGTGACGGTAATACAAGTAAGAAACACGCTTCAGACACTGTCTTCAGATTGTTGTTTGTATGATATATTTGCAGTCTGACCGCGGCTTAGCGATCCCTTTGCCAATTAGACACATTGTCCTTCGATAGGCTACCCGTTTTGACTATATAGTTTTCCCAGCTGCATAAATTCAACTATTACAAATTAGCCTATTCGACGAACCGGCCTTTGAAGAGTTGACTTGTTAGCCCAGTTCCGTTTCGGAGGTACCTATAGATATCACTAAATAAGAACAAAAAGAAGTATCATCAGAGTCGTAGGTTTTCTTGCATAAAAATCCCGCTGCCACGATGTTTTTTTTTTTTTCTACATATTGTCACGCGCGTTGCGAGCAAGCGCGTGCGTGGCCGAGTGGTTTCCGCTCTTGGCTGTCGCGCGGAAGGTGTAGGTTCGATTCCAGTCAGCGGACTGTCCTTTTATTTACTCTTTCAACTTGGCCTTCTCGTAAGTTCGCGAACATTTTCGTCTGATCGAGTTCCAAATGTTCTACGCACCGAAAGTTCTACGCCCAATGATCCAAAACCGCACGAGGGTACATAAGGGGGACTCCGCAAGGCGAGCGGAGTCAGTCTCGCCCTAGCGTTCGTCTCTGCTGTTACGCCGGCTTCGACATTCGCGACGCTCAGCTGTTATCTTCTCTTTCCTTTTTATTTTGGGCACAAGCTCGCCCCATTGAGCGTTTAGTTTCTTCAGTTATCATCGCCTCATCAGCTGTCACTCGTGGCAATTGATTGTTACATTTTCATATTTCGGAGGGTTTTAGCTGCTTCTGGCGTTTTTTTTTTTTTTGTTTCTCGTCTTGCTGCTATGCGTGCCTAGATGTTCAGTTGTGTGTTGTAATACTTTAAACGGTAATTGGTAAAAAAGGGGCGCGGGGGCGGGGGGTTAGGGCCGGGTTAGGCAGTAATGTCTTTACTCATTGCCACCCTACTTGGCAGTGCCGGTAAAACACCGCAAAAAAAATATACTTAAAAAAGGCAGAATATCGTCCACACACAAAAAAAGAATTACTTAGCACCTGTCAATATAATCTCCGCTGATTTTCTCCTCAAGTATTTCCCATTTTATTACGCAGCTGATTTCTTGAATTAACAAATATGTTCATGTGTCAAAGAAGAGCAGTATTATAAATTAAAAATAATTATTATTATTGTGCTACAAGAAAAAAACGCAGTCTAGTTTTTTTCGAATATTGAACAAACCTCCAGCAAATAAATACAGAAATGCGTTCATCTGCTTACTCTGCCAGTCATTACGCAGTGACCCGTGCCTTTTTCTGAAGGTTTACTTTGCATCAACTTCCACTTCCATCTCGCTAAAAAAGTTTAAAAAGCTTAGATTAACTCTTTGTTCGAGAATTGCACGTGCTATTCTATTCAAATTACCCCGCAGGGACAAGCGCACCTTTACATAAGCAGTCATTAAAACACCAAAGTCACGCGAGAAGTCAAACTTTTATGTTTTATAGTTTTCTTTTTTTCTCGGGACGTTGTAAAACGTTGACGGGCCTTGAATTTTTCTGAAAGAGACATTTTTACTGTCTTTTTAGACGCGCAGTCTAGGCTTTTAATTGAAACGATAGATTGATTCTTGCCCATAAAAGTTGTTTGAAAACGAACAGAAGCAACGCCAAAAACGACCTTAATATCTTCGAAAATTGTGGTCCTTAACTCTGTCGCTAAATTTTTGTAATCAGGACATCCATTACTGCTCCCGCAAATAAACTGACAAAACCACACTAACTTTTACTTTCTAGCCCGTCAGCTGGATTGATGGACGGATGGTAATGGCTATGCCCTTTGTAACGGGCGGCAGCTTGCGCCACCTAGCCTAACAGCCTCCTTTATTCTCTCTCTCTCTCTCTCTCACACACACACACACAAAAAAAAGAAAAAAAAAACCAAGGTGGGCCGTAATTGCTGGACAGACGGTTCCCGTAGCATTCCCGTTATAAGACGATTGCAAGCAAGCTCCCTGGCCGCCGCCATATCTTTGCTCGTGCGGAGAAAGCCCGTCTAATTGCAAGCTTGCACAAAGCTGTGTTCCCGAGCAAGCACCACGTACTTGCACGCATGGGGCGCTAGAGCACTGCACGGGCCCGGGCCAGCCCAAAAGCCCGAGCCCGGCCCGGCCCGCGGGCCGGGCTCGGGCCGGGTAGCACGTATTTTCTCGGGCCCGGGCCGGGCTCGGGCTTGAACAAAAAAGTTCTCAAGCCGCGCCGGCCCGAGCCGGCCCGGGCCGTGCCTGGGCAATGTTGTGCCGTAAATCATAAATTGTTGTTGATAGCGAGAAGTTTGCTCATTAATCTTTTAGGTTCATTAAATACAAAAAAGGCGAAGTGCAAATTCACTACAGTGTCGTTAAAAATAATAACTAAAAGACGTCTTGAAGCTAGAAAGCCTTCAAGCTTTTTCCGTGTGAGCGAGGGTTCAGTGTTATAAATTGTAAACAAAATAAAGTCCCAGTCATATGCTTGTCAACCTGTCTGATTCATCGCTCTCAAAAATATCTAGTTCACTATTAGGAAGGTTTAGAAAAACGTTCGCAAGCGCTTTGGGTACCGTAAAAATAGCGTTCCGATGTAAAACCTATGGCGATGCTAATTTTAGCTTGCCCAAAGTGCTTGAGTACGCTATTCTAAGACTCCCTTATTGCACAGATTGCGACACTAAATTAGCGCGAACAAGCGATCGTCGTGTTTTTATGTTTATCTCATAGAATCAAAACGCTGTTTTCAAAACTATTAGTATCTTTAGAAGTGCTCATCTGGGCCACAGACCTAAGCGGTATACTTTGGTGCCTACTAACACCATTTCGAAGTAAAATTCGAAAAAAGAGCCAACGTCGTGTTCGCGGTATCAGTGTCGCGCAATGTACATAGTCCGTTCCGCGCTTGCACGTTTTGGGAACCATCTTGAAAAAAAAAACATTTTAAGGGGATAAGTAGGAATATATTAAACTTAAGCTTGCCTGAAAGGGTTGTATATTTTAAGAACGCGTTGACATGTAAAGCTACTTCAGAACATATTCTTAAACAGAAAAGGTGCGCAGACCAGGCTTAGAACGATGGAGACTTTTTGCGAAGAGGTT